TTTTATTTTTATTTTTTAATTTTTTTAAAAAAAATGCATAAAAAAATTAAAAAAAAATGATGTGATTCAAAAAAATTAAAAAGTCAAAAAACTAATTTTTAACTAACTTGCCAAAATAGGCCAAAATCCCATGAAATAACATCTTTCTACAACTTTCCTTTCTCAATTTACCAAACAATTTAAATTTCACTACAAGAAAAAGGACATACAGTGACGTTTTTCAAAAACGTCGTGAAAATTGTCCAGATTTTTCAAATTCCAAAAAAATTAAACTAAACCATCTCTCGTTTTGTGCCCCGTTATTTCTTTTAAACAGTCGCTCAACTCAAGGCTATGACATTCTTCTATTCAGATTGAACAGAGGCGTGACTTCAGAAAGAGAGAGAAATCGAGGCATCGGATCTTCGAGGCGTCGGATCTTCGATCTCCATCAATTCTTCAGTTGTTTGATCTGAAAAATCTTGTTCTACTCGTGATTTGAGCGTATCTCTCCGTGATTGTTCGAATCCCTATGATCTAAATCGATCTAGGGCTCAAGGTTAGGGTTTTCTGATATAGATTTGCTAGGTTTGGGGATGCGGTTGGATCAGGAAATGGTGGGATTGGGGATGCGGTTGGATCCTCTCCAGAAAGCCCACCTTCGCCAGAGATCTGGAGATGAACGAACAAGAGACTGCTGTTCTGGGCTGCCACAGCAAGGGTAGCTGGAGACACGTCTTCTACAAGCTCAAAAAGCTTCTAGTCCGCCCTCATCATAACCTCCCCCAAACCTTCAGGTACAACTCCGTTACTTATTCTCAGAACTTCGACGATGGAATCGGAAAGATCAACACCAGATCCCAACTTAATCATTGATTCATTTGGGCATCCATATCCATCAATCAATGTCGTTTTGTGCTCACAATTGGTATGTTTTCATTGTCTCTGCTCGTTTAAAGCCTCTTTTCTCATGAATTTTGGGTTTTGTATGTTGAAAAATGTTAGTCTGAAAGTTTGGGTCTGTCTGTATGTTTTACTGTAATCATGTAGTTTAGAGGACAGGAAACTAGGAATTACCAAGAACTTCGTGTAACACTTTTTGTGGACTTGTAAAAGGAGAATAAAAAAAATAAGTTTTTGGATGCCATTATCATATTTGTGCATTTTTTCTATCATAAAAAACCAGAAGACCAGTTAGGAGATGCAGTCACCAGAACAGCAAAACAATATTCACAACAAACCCACAAAATTTGGCACATGGTGAAGGTATAGGTATGGTGGTTGCAAATGAAAACCACACCCCAAAATAACATTCAAATTAACTGTCTAGTTTTGTTAATCACTCTGTTTTTAATTGTTTTAGAGGGATTCTCTGAGTTCTATGGAAAATGATAGAATATATTGTTATTGAAATAATGACATTTAAAGTTTTTTGAGGAAAACAATGAAATTGCTTCAAGTGTATTTATTTTATTTTATTTCAAGGACTCTACTGCAGAGCTCTTCATGGGCATCTTCTTACTGTCTGCCTTTGCTGTAATTAGTACTATAGAATTCAACTGTTGACTCGCTGGAATTGGTTTCAATGTTTTTGGTTTTTGGTTTCTTCTTTTGCTTTTAAAGTTATGATTTTGGGGGATATGGTTAGACTTCTCAAGACAATTTTTGGGTTAGGATTTTTTTTATTTTATTTTTTATGTTGTTATTAAATTTCATCACCTTTGGATACTTTGACCATTTTAATTATTTTCTTGTGTATCAGACTTCAATATAGTAATAATATCCTTCTGAGGTGGTCCACTTATCCTGATGAGCTGAGCTGACCCTTTTTCTTCTCTCTTTTGTGTTGTTGAATAGCTTTGACAATTTTATGCAACTTGTGATTGGTACATTATGAACACCCATGAGCTGAGTTGAGCTAACCTGGAGCTGAGCTGCACCTTTGGACTCTATGCTGGCTTCTTTTCTTTTTGAACACCCCTGAGCTGAGCTGAACTGACATGGAACTCTGTATATTGATGATTTAGCTGGAAAACTATCAACAAGAACTTGAACATATGAAGAACATGACCAGACAAGAATATGTTGCTCACTTAAGAAGGTATAGTCTCTCTCCTTGTATATTAGACAACAATGTTTGTTTTCTTTGTTTGATGTGTTTTTATCTCTAATATATTGATCTTTGCAAAAAAAGCAGTGGCTTCTCAAGGGGTGCTTCAATGTACAGAGGAGTCACAAGGTCTTACTATTTTTTGCACATACATCTGTTAATCTATAATTTTTATTGGCACGCTTCCTTTAATTATAAGTAGAAGTATATTTGATGTACATCTCGTCGTTCCCAGACCCTGCCCTTCTTTATGGGTCTCTAATTCTGATGTAATCTTCAACAGACATCATCAACATGGACGCTGGCAAGCTCGGATAGGCAGAGTTGCAGGAAACAAGGACTTTTATCTAGGGACATTCAGTGAGTTCCTTTGCATCTTCTCAATTTATTTGGGCAAAAACTTTTTCCCGTAGACATCTAATTGCTAAAAAATCTTCTCATTTCAAATTCTGCCAAGACATTAGTGGTTTTGCTACATAATTTGCTAAAAAAATGCAACTATTTAAATGCAATCTGTGGCTTTCTGTTCTTGTACTGGTTTTGATTTCATTTCGATCTTCTCATTTCAAATTCTGCCAAAACATTAGTGGTTTTGCTACATAATTTGCTAAAAAAATGCAACTATTTAAATGCAATCTATGGCTTTCTGTTCTTGTACTGGTTTTGATTTCATTTCGATCTGGTTCTGATTTAACTGCAATTTTCAAGCACCCAAGAGGAAGCTGCTAAGGCCTATGACATAGCAGCAATAAAATTTCACGGGGTTAGTGCTATCACTAACTTTGACTTAATGGGTATTGTGTATTCATTTTGTATTTAGTAGTTTCTGTCAATGAAGTTAGCTTCTGTGAATCCAAGGTTAGAATTTAACATGGATAGTCTCTTGTCGAAAGATGTGAGTATAGAAACTTGTAAAATCAATTTCTTTTATCTATTGTGATGTTTTTTTCTAAAATTGGTTGTAAATTCCGGGTATTTCAGCCTAATGGCTCTTTCCCACATCAAACATACCCATTAAATTGGTCAAGAACCCAAACCACAATACAGGATTTCAATCATCCCACATGAAAATTGAACTGTGGTCACCATTGATTTGTCCTCAACTCAAGGCCCAGAGGCTGCTGTATATTAATGGATTTTTTTTTACGAGAAATATTAAAAGAAAAATCTTGATGCTTTCCTAAAATATAGTAGAATCACAAGTTGCTTCATTCACCAACTAAATTTGATTTGTTGGATGAACTGTGTTGAATCAAGAAGGGTTGACTTTTGTTAAATCTATTTTTTATAACAGCTTTAGATATGTTACATGTGATCTCTATAATTGAAATTGGTTTGATCTGTTTTTGCAGGAATAGTATGTATCCTGAGCAGTTGACTCGTCTCAGTTGTGAACTACAACTCTTTATGAGTTCAAGAAGAGCATACAGTCTCTAATGTTTTTGTAGTGGAAGTGGATAGAACCATAGATAGACCTATGGATAGAACCATAGATAGACCTGTAGACACTAATGCTTGCTTAAAGATGGGTTTTGAGCCACTGGTTTGGTATTGTCAGCCAGTGGCAAATGGACACTTTGGTTGTTTCCATCTACAATTTGGTTCTTATGGGCCTGTGCTTATATCGAATATGGCTGACTACGAAAAATTTATCGCTATTTTTTAGTTTTTTTATAGGTATTTTTTTAGTTCAATAACATAAAATTAGCACAATTTAAAAAAAAAAAAGAAAGGGGCTATCACGGCGTTTCTAAAAACGTCGCTAAATAGCATACCAACAGTTGGAGTTTTGAAAAACAGATACGGCGGCGTTTTAAAAACATCGCTAAATAGAATGGTGATGTCATGATACCGTTAGAAGAACTTTTAGCGGCGTTGTTCTAAAACGCCGCCTATAGTAATATAGCGACGTTTCTAAGCGCCATAGAGTTATAGTGACGGCCGCATCTTCGACGTTTGGTGATAAACGCCGCACGAGGATTTAACGGCGTTTTTAAGAGCTATAGCGGCGTTTTTTAAACGCCTTTAAAACTCTAATTTCCAGCAGTGTATGTATTTATTTATTTTGTTTTCTTTTTGTAACTTAATCAACTCTAATTTGAACTCAATTAATAAAATTTCAAATTTATTAAACTGAATCAGATATTTAATTAAACTCTCATATGGTCCGATATTCAAAATTAAAATAATCCAATTAGTCAATTTCACCTTATTGAGAATGCCACAATTAAATTAGAACAATAATTAAGTAAATATAAAATAGTATACGTGACGGGGTCGTCATAATCTCTCCCCCCTTAAAAAATTTGCTCCTCCAAACTTAAGGGGCTTGTACCTGAAAACTAATCATATGGCATTGCTTTTCTCAAGTAACTTTCTTTGTTATTTGATTTCCTCATCATTTGATGGTCTCATTATAGGAGTTTAGCTCATTTTTATTTAGTGGTTAATTACTCAAATTGTGATTCATCTTAATTCATATCAAAAGTTATTTAATAAAATATAGCAAACCTCAAAGTCATCCTCATAATATTAAGCCACAAAACATATTAATCCCAACATACTACTCTTATCAATCACATATACTTTTATTTAGTTATCACATTTTACTAATAATTTTCATATTTCCAATAATCCACGTCTCCAAATAAACAAATGATATTCATGATCTTACTTAGTTTTAACAAATCAAAGTATTCTCCAATTGACATCTCATATGAAGTCTTCAAAATGGGTTGGGTATATGATACAACCTCAATAACAAATTTAAAATTCACAAATTTTCTGACCACAATAATTTGGTTATTTATTCTTATAGAATTCATAAGCCATCAAGTCAAATCGGTGGGAGAAAATTTTCTCCATTGGTTGCACAAGATAACTATTTAATCTCGGAAATCCAAGACAACTTACGTAGGTGTATGATCACATTCACTTGATAGATCGAAAATCAATTCACATTCAACATTACATTCTAGGGTCCATATCGAAGGTCTTGGGCCATACTCATAGTACAACGTTCCCAAATAATATAATTCTTTGACTAGTGATGAAACAGTTTTACACAATAATAGTCCCAATGATACAACCATCTTATAACAATTGACTTTAAATGAATGGATGGATCCTGAATCCATTAACATATAACTCACAAATAGTTTCCTTATAATTATCTTAGCAATCTCGTATCAAGTTTCAAATGCTCAAGTAGATGAGTTCTAAATTTACCCACAATTAATTCAAATATTTAGAAGGGTGTAAATTTTAATTCAAGACTTTTTGCATTGACTAGCAATGTATATTTATTTATTTATTTATTTTACCTATTTATGAAGTACCAATCTTCGATCTGATCTGATTGATTTGTTGTAATAAATCAACTAACAATTCTACACTCTCAATCATAGCAATACACGCCTTATAAATGGATGTAACAATCATATTTCTCCCAGATGGGGTAGACACAGATAATACATAATCAAGGGGTTCTAATTCTCTATCCAACTTCTCGGCGAATATAGTGGACACAAATGAATGCGTAGAACCCGAATCAATCAGTACGTATGCATCTTGAGAGCAAATTGAGAGGGTACCTGACACCACTGTTTCAGCATTCTGGGCGTCTCCTGGCAATAATGCGAAAACTCTGCCCTGCCTCGCCTGTACTCCCCCGATGTTGTTCTTCTGTGTTGAGCCCGAGGTGCTTCCATTCCTCTTCCTATCATCGGTCCTTGCTTTCGGGCAGTCCTTCACGCGATGGCCTATCTCGCCACACTCATAACAAGCTCCCGTTGCCCAACGACAAACTCCGAAATGTTGCTTTCCACAACTCACGCACATCGGCTTGGCGTTACCTTCCTGATTTGAGTTGCTGGAACTGTCTGTGCTCATTCTCTTCTTGGCATTGAACGGAACTCGGCGACTATCGTAATTCTACCTCTTCCTCTGACCCTCACTTGAACTCTGGTATCGGTTTAAATTAGCTTCAGCCAGGATGGCCTTGTCCAGTACCCCGGCGTACATCGGCATATTGAGCATATTGACCCGATCTTGTATCGGCCCACGCAACCCACTTTCGAACTTCCTCGCCTTTCGATACTCGTCATCAACCATATGAGGCGCATATCTCGCCAGTTCAGTAAAGGCACGATCTCATGCTTAATGGCATCAAATCAACTAACAACTCTACACCCTTAATTACAACAATACACGCCCTATAAATGGATGTAACAATCGTGTTTCTCCCAGATGGAGTAGACACAGCTAAAACATAATCAAGGGGTTCTAATTCCCTATTCAACTTCTCGGCGAACATAGTAGATACAAATGAATGCGTAGAACCCGAATCAATCAATACGTATGCATCTTGAGAACAAATTGGAAGGGTACCTGACACCACCACTTCGACATTCTGGGCGTCCGTACTAGGGAAAACTTCAAACAACTTCTCCATCTCTAAAATCCATGCCTCGGCTTTCATTGGTTCTATACCTCCCTGAAATCTCGGCGGTTTCATCTTCTTGAACTCTCTGATTAGAGTTATCGTGTCGTTCCCATACAAAGCTTGCTGCGGAGGCACTTGTGGCACCGGAGGGGGTGGAGCTGCATATCGGCCATTCGTCTGTTCGGCATGCATAGAAGTGGTACCAGTATCCTGCGGCCTAGGTTGTCTCTGCTCACGAACCAAGCCTTCGACTAACCTTTCCAATCTCTCCAGCCTGTCTTCTGAACGATCTCGGCCAACTGGGGGTCTACCTCTCCTCATGATGCTAGGGGGAATGCAAGATGAGACTTTAAAACAACTAAACGGATAACACATATACAAGTAACAAACGTCTATGACAAAATCATGCACACATAGTCAAGTAGCAAGCAATATGATGCAACTCCTAACAATGAGGTGCGCAAGATAGCACGACAAAATGCATGCAAAATGCAAATAATGTGCAAAAAACAGTGCGATGAGGTGCGCAAGATAGCGCGACAAAATGCATGCAAAATGCGAGCAATGTGCACAAAACAATGCGATGAGGTACGCAAGTGTCACGCCCCCAAACCGCCCCTAGTAGTTTGGTGCCGTGATGGCCAGTAACCCGAGGTTACCGAAGGCCGTCTTACAAAAATCACACACAATCAGAGTATGAAATATGGGGCTTACAAGAGCGGAAGCAAAATATACATATAAAACTGAGTAGTCCATGAGAGCCGTGCATAAGTCCAATGAAATGCCATACATCAAACATCTTTACAAGTCTTACAATTTAGATTACAACAAAATGAGATACAAAATACATCCTGACCAAAAGGCTTCCCAAGCCGACATATGCCAAAACAAACAAAAGAAAACATAAGCCGAGAAGCATAATCTTCAAGACGATGCAAAACGCAAATCCAAAACATGTCGGCAAAGCACCCAAAACACATCGGCAATCACGTCTAGGCCTCAATGCCTTCTTGTTCATCACCTACACATATATAGAGAGGGTGAGCTTGGATACTCAGTGAAGGATATTAGAAATAAAGGTTTTTGCATGATTGATATCCAAGATTTCTTTCAAAACCTTCAGGAAGTTGATTCCATTTGTCCCCAATATCCTACATTACATGCATAAAATCATATGAACAATTACATATAAGCTCACAAGTATAAGAGGAATACTACAAACAACAAGAATACGTTGCACTTACCTTCACGTCTACTTTCATTTGGGTTTTTTTTAACTCCATTGATTGTTCTTGGCTATAAACATATGAAAATGAATATAAGAATTCGTATAATGGAAAATATATAACTACATACAAATAGATATTAACGAAATACCAAAAGAAAATGAATGGAGTGATCGGGCGCTTTGGAGGATCAGTCGGTTTATCCATTAGGCTTCAATCAGAATTCCTTGTAAAGAAAGACAAGAAAAATAAACTCATAATATCTTTGATTAGGAAAAAAAACAAACAAACAAAAATCTTAAAGGTTATAGTACATTCATCAAATGCACGACATGCACACATGAATGGATTTGTTTTATAATAATGTAGTTAACAAAGACTATGTTTCCAATGTAAAAAGGAAAGACACTAAAAAAAATTCTAATCATAAACAAAAAATGATACCACAGTAGCTTAGGTCACATTACCGTAAAAAACAGACTAAAGAAATTAATTTTTTTGGACAAAATTTGTAATTTGGTAAGGAAATTTTTTTGTCGCAAAAAGGAGCCAAATATTTTGGCACCATATGAATTGATAATAAAAACGACATTGTTTTTTATTTTATTGTTGGGACTATTGTAGAAAAAAATAAAAAACGATGTCATGGTTATGTATAGCTCCTTTGTTGCTTCAGGTTTCACTTTAGGTGTACACTCAGAAGGTTGAGTATCTTTATTAACTGGTTTTACTTGCTTTGGTTTTAGCCATGTTGTGGTTCACTTTCCCATATTTTATCTTGCTAATTTTTTATTTATTTATTCTCTGCATGGGTTTGGGGATGGCTTGAACCACATAAAGCACTTGAAAATTATAAATGTTTAGGGAAGCAATTTATTTTTTAGAATACAAAATATAAGAAATTACAAAATGGGAGAATGATTTGATACAGTTGTATTCAGTAATATACATACAGTAACTAAAGATTTGATGCACTAAGGACCCTTGCATACTACTATAACCCACTGTCACTCACAATTGAATCTTGGGTTGTGAATAGAGCTTCTCTTGTATTAATGCTATGCTTATTATTTGATTTTATTATTTACATTTATTCTATCATTGATACTTTAGATTCATAATAAATAATAATAATATATGAACACTACTACAAAATTGGTTAAAGGTCACAATTTTTAACTTTGACCTTATACTTTTAGTCTTAGTTTTTTTTTTTTTAATACAAAAACTGTGATGAATGGGGGTGTGACTGTACAAGTTATATCATAAATATTTTGCTTTTTAATTTGGCCATCACGCATACCATATAATTTAAATATATTGAAGCATAGAGGACCTTATAGGAAAAATATGTACCTGTCCAAGAAGTAGTTCAGCAACAACACAACCAGCAAACCAGAAGTCAATAGCTGTAGTGTATTCCGTCGATCGAAATATAAGCACAGATGTAAGAGGTATTGGACTCTCCTTTTACCTGCCAAAAATAAGGAATGAAGCATTTCAACCAAAACACAAAACTAAGGGAGAGGGGAAAAAATTAAAAGACATAAACCAACATGTCAAAACTTTAAAAATTCCAAAATGAAGTTGTTATTTGTAAAAGAGTTAATGAGGTGGTGGGAAAATAGCATATATGAAAGGGCATCATTAGTGATGAAAAAATGTAAAATAATTACAATTACACATGAGGGTTTATAGAACTCTGATAAGTATATAGCATATTAATTAGGATACATGTTAGAGTGTAAATCCTTTGGAAATTAGGCCAAATGTTATAATTTGCATATAGTACACATCTCAAAAGGGGTGTAGTAGCATGACCATACATACCACACATAAACCAATATAAACTCTAGTTTGGAATGAATCAATAAATCAAAATCCCCAAAAATAGAAGAACAATAATTTTTTAGAGGCATTTTTCTGTTTCATGTATCTTCATGCTCTTGTAGAAAAAGCAATAAACAACAAAGAAAGGGGGGGGGGGAGGAAAGAAAAGAAAAAGAAAAATAAGAAGTACATTAATAATTTAGTGTCTTTGAAGTTTGAGGGTTTTGAATGAAAATAGGTTTTTCTTGAATCAAGTAATTTTGATATTTTTTTTATTATTTAATGGAAAATCAAGATGTGTGTATTTGCTAGTTCGATACGCGGTCAGATGCGTTATTTGATATGAATGTTGGAGGTAATCCTATCATCACTCTATTTCAATCCAGATGATTTTTTATTTTTTTATATTTTCTTTATTAATTTGCTTGTGTTTATCATTGTTACTTACCTTTTATTGAAGCAAAAACAAAAAAACAAAAAAAAAAAAGAAAGAAAGAAAGAAAAAGAAAAAGAAGCCAAGGATGGTTGCTAATCCTGCTAGGAATAGTGGGAGTAACTAAGTTGGAAGTGGGAGGGGTTTATTGAAGGTCATTATCTTTTGTTGTGCTTTTTGTTGCTCTTTCGTCCCTTATGGTCACCTTGGAGGATTAAGCTATCTCTCTCTCTCTCTCTCTCTCTCTCTCTCTCTCTCTCCCCACTTGGGTGATAAAAAAAAATAAATTAGACCATGTAATGCCAAAGGGATGGCAATGAGGGGAGTAATGAAGGCGGCGGTGGTGGAGGTGGCAATGATGGGTTGACTAGGGATTTCTTACGTCTTAGAACAATCTCTCATAGGGGGTTTCCAAACAGGGTTGGGCTTCATCATATGAACTCACCATCATCTTCATATGATCAGCAGAACCAAAATCAAACACAATGGCAAGGTTAGATTAATATATATTATAGGTGAAGTTTCTATTTACATTTGATTTATTTTCATGAGTTTGTTCTTGTTGTAATTCATCATTTATCTATTCTTCTACATAATAAGGACACAAGCAACTACAATTTGTTCTTTTCATTTAGGACTGTTTTTGGTTTCTTTGCATTTTTAATATATTCAATGTTGCCTTCTTGATCATTCTATTCTACTTACTTGCTGTAAGTAATTAAATTATAGAAATTAACACAGAACTGAACACAAATTATATTAATGAATAAGATTTTACAAAATTTGTTTGTACAATTTCACTTTAAAAAAGCTTATCTATTCATATATATTGTAATAATCAATTATGCAATCACTTTTTGTATAAACTTAATCTAAATCAGTTTCTCTATTGTTGTTTCATTTTCTTTTAGAATTTTTAATAATCTTTGGACTTCATGCTGTGTTGTTCTATCTGGGGCATATAATCAATATAGACATGTCCTATTAATAAATCAAACCAATATTGAAGCAATTGATTGTAAAACTCTATTTCCCTAAGGAAAATAAAGGGAGAAAAAATTCTCCCAGAAAAAAAAAACCTGTACGGGTGCTGTTTGTGTGTTGGGTTGTTCTTGAAATGAGACACGAGACATGGAATGTGTACAGGTGATAGCAGTATAGCTTTGGATATGCTGACAAGAAAAATTCTTGAAATGGGCATGGAATCAAAGAGGGGATGATTTGGGAATGTGATCAAAGAAACAGAGGATGATTTGGGAATGTGATTAATGACATTGCTGATTCTAGATACAATCAAAGAGAGATAGAGAAAGAGCCAATAGTTGGATTACAAATTTTGAACTTTTTCAGAGGAAAAAGCTGATAAAATAAAAATTAATATCAGATATTCATTCTTCAGTTCTGAAATCAAAGTGGCACAACTATTGGATACAGATGTTAATTTTCATTGAGAACCAAACTTAATATCAAATATTCAATAAGGGTTAGGGTTTTCAAATCAAAAGCCCTAATGTAAATGAAGTTTAGAGTTAGAAACAAACCTGAGCTACAAAAAATATCTCTTGGAAATATTCGATTAGAATGGAAGAAATTCTAGTTCTTGACGTCAAGAGAGTGAAAGGTTATGAAGAAAGATGTCTACACTGAGAGAATGGTAGCCCCGACGTTGACGGGGCTGGTGGTCTTCGGCAATGGCTGAAGCTTCGGCTATGGTGGAAGAGATGAGGGACTACTCTGTTGGACTACTCTGATACTTTGCTCTGTTTGGTAACCGGTTACACCGGTTGCCTAATTTGAGAGTCAAATTACTTAAATAACTTAGTTATGACCTGGTTATGAAGTAATATGGTATAAGTAAATAATTGAATATAACTAAGTTATGAGTTAATATGTTAGTAGTTATGACTAATATGATATTGGTTA